AGTTAGAATCAGAAGCTCATTGCGTACTTCAGTCACACATTATCTATGCGAGCAAGAATGAAATCCGTCTATGAACGAGAATTGATGGCAGTCGTTCTAGCAGACCCTACCTATTGGGACATCGCTTCGTCATTCTCACTTACCAACAGGCTCTGAAGCACTCGTTGGATCAACGACAGATTCAGCTAGAATACCAATGATGGGTGGCCAAGTTGTTGGGGTATGATTTTGAAATTCAATACCGTCCGGGCCAAGAGAACAAAGCAGTCGATAGTCTTTCCCGTATTCCTCTGATAGGGCAGCTAGCCATGCTGTATGTTCCCCGATTAGTGGACTTGGAAGTCATCAAGAAGTAAGTGAGTGAGGATCCCTACTTGTCCCTCGTGTTAAAAGAGTTGGAGGAAGACCCAGAGGGTAGACCTAAATTCCATATGCAAAAAGGAATGCTCAGATACAAGGACAGATTGGTGCTGGCCAAGAAATCATCTCCGATTGCATCGATACTCCACATGTACCACGACTCTGTGATGGGAGGACACTCTGGCTTCCTACGTACTTACAAAAGGTTAACGGGGGAACTCTATTGTCAAGGGATGAAGGCGGATGTCAAATCTTACATAAAGAATTGCCACATATGTCAGAAGAACAAAATAGTTGCCGCATCTCCGGCAGGATTACTCCAACCCTTACCTATTCTGGATCGTATCTGGGAGGACGTGGCCATGGATTTCATTGAGGGGTTGCCTAAGTCGAGAGGATGCTACACCATTTTGGTGGTGGTCGATAGACTAAGCAAGTATGCCCATTTCATCGCTCTCACTTACCCGTTTACCGCCAAGTCTGTAGCCCACATGTTTATCAAGGAAATCGTGCGCCTACATGGATTCCCAAGGTCTATAGTCTCCGACAGAGATAGGATCTTCGTCAGTCATTTCTGGACAGAGTTGTTTTGAACCCAGGGAACTCAGCTGAGAAGAAGCTCGACATATCATCCTCAGTCCGATGGACAATCTGAATGAGTGAACCGTTGCCTGGAAACGTAACTTCGGTGCTACTGTAATGATTCCCTGAAACAGTGGGGGCAATGCCTGGCTTGGGCGAAATTTTGATATAGCATCACTTTCCATGTTGCAATCGGGGCCACTCCGTTTCGTCTAGTCTATGGATGTGAACCACCGACTATTATGGGGTACAACAATATGAAGACGAATAATGCAACACTAGACCAACAGTTAGCTGAGAGAGACCTCGCGTTGGACTGTATGAAGGAGCACTTAAAGAAAGCACAAGAGCGCATGAAAATGCAAGCCGCTAAGAAGAAGATGGAGCTAGAATTCAAAGAAGGAGATTAGGTGTATCTGAAATTGTGCCTCTATTGACAGAAGACAGTGACAAAGCGAAGGAATGAAAATTTGGGCCCTAAATACTTCGGACCCTTCGAGGTAATCAAGCGCATCGGAGCGGTTGCCTACAAATTGCAGCTTCCAGTGGTATCGACCATTCATCCGGTGTTCCATGTGTCCCAGCTTAAGAAAGTCATGGGCAATGCATATACGGTACAACCTCTGGCCCCGTGGGTCTCAAAAGACATGGAGTTAGTGGCTGATCCAGCATAAGTGTATGCCACACGGATCAATGCGGCGATGGGTAAGGAGGAAGCCTTAGTAGCATGGAAGGGCCTACCCGAAGAAGAGGCGACCTGGATTGAGCTGGACGAGATCAAGCTACAGTTCCCAAGTTTCTTCAAAGAACAGCTGGACACCCACCTTGGGGACAAGGTGGATTTCGAAGGGAGGGATATTGTTAGGCCACCGGTTATTCATACTTATGTTAGAAAAGGCAAGAAAGGCAAGAAGGGAGAATATGAGAGTTATTTTGTTAGTGGGAGGGTTGTTTTGGTATTTTTCCCAAAACGTTAGTAGGAGTACGGATGTGGAAGAATAGAATGTCTGTAAAGGGAAAGCCTCGGGATTAGGGAGGCAGTTTTTGGGTATTTTGTGTAAGAGACTCAGCCCTCTCGAATTGGTTGGTTTTGTAAAGCTTAAGGGCTGTTGTTTCCTTTCGAATATCAAAAACTTAGTGAGGAAGATACCTCACAGGCCCATGCACTGATCTCCTYCTCCCATAATATATAATATTTACGAATATTAAAAGAATTATTTATAAAGAAAATTATAGTGTGAAATAAAGGAGTATGATACTCTCATAGTAAAAAAAAAAGTTATTTATAGAGACAAAATCATATTCTGAATAAAGAAAAATAGGTACTTCCATATTCCGTACCAAACCAAAACCATAGCATGAACAAATGGAGTATACAATTTTTTTTTTCCATTTCCTTTACCTTCAAACTTTCATGCTTTTCTAAATGTTTATCCTCTCTCTCTTCATATATTATGTACATATATAAATAGATGAAGCCCACAATTTCCTTGTCTTTTTCATGGGAAGACACCATTTTGCAACCAACTTGAAATAAATGAAGTGGAGAACCTAACTTTCATAATTCAATTCTTGAATGTTGACACTATAGTAATTAATATAATATTTTGTATGCAGCCAACTTCTGGAGTATATATTTTGTCACTCTTTGTCCTTTCTACATTCTTATTATTATTATTAAACACTCTCTTAGAATAGTATATGTTACAATGCCTCCGATTCTCTCTCTCTATTGGAATCACAAAAGATACAAAATTCATTGGATTGATGGATGCAAATAAATGGATTTTGTGCTGACATATATAAACAGGAAGGGTTTAATTCATTGGATTATATGTACATAATTATGTGCTTGATGAACATTGTTTAAATTAGTTATTTTGTTATATGGTTTGTTTGGATTATTTTAGTTAAATTTTCAGAGCCAACTAATCTATGGAATATTTTATATATTGTTCGGTTGTGGAAGCTTAATCATCAAATAGGCTTCGCCTAACTTGAGATTAAAATTTGAAATAAGCATGAGAGAAATTTGTGATGCCAGAAAAAAAAATATGTCGTAGGAGATGTAGAAAAACAACGAGTCATAAGTGATAGAAAAGATTTCCACATTACGGTATAAATATGAACAATTATAAATCTCTAATATGTATAAAGTATGCCAATGCGTGTCAATGTAAGCATCAAGGACCAAAATGATTAATTTTTCAATGTCCAAGAATTAAATAAATATTATAAAATTTCAGGAACTAAAAATATTTTTCTTTTCTTTTAGTCTAAGAACTAAAATGAATCCTTTGAAAATTTAAGAACCAGAATGGAAGAAATCTTAAAATTTACTACGTTATAAAAAGTGAAAGCATATATTAATTTAAAATTTAGAGAGTTAATTATTATTAATGAGCAATATATCCATTAGAAGCTCACTTTATTTCCAAATTAGTAAAGTAAAATTAAATGGGAAGATTTGCAATAATTATAAACTAGTGAAAGTGAGAAGAAATTTACATTTTACCCCCTCTCTAAGATCCCATCACATCAAACATGAATGAATTTTCCAAAAATATGTTTGAATTCACCAACCAAAGTATGCCCTACACCACTCTCCATTGTTTGTTATAAATTTATAAAATGGAATCAACTTGAATTCCATATCATATCCATGTAATCAATTTTGGGAGAGAAATTTGCTACTTGTTGGGAATAGGGATGACAAAATTTTAATTAGTATGGGGCCACTCCAAATATAGAGAAAAAGAGGGAAAAAAAATTTCCCCAAACTTTTTTATTCAAATTGGGAGTAAATTCATTGTCCCRCCTTAACTACGATTCTCTAAATCGAGAAATGGGGTAGAGAAGAAGATTAAAAATATAAATAAGATCGGATAGAGAGCGCATCCCCAAATCTTTAATGTTCAAGTACATACTACATGTTGTACTTAAAAAATATATATACATGGATGACATCTTTTATTAGCATGAAACCTTTAAAATAGAATCTAGCATGGTAAATTATCARTTTGATCCTCACATTTTGGGCTTAACTCTAATGTAATCCCATGGATTTAAAATTTTGAGTTAGGTCTTTGAGCTTAGTTTTCAATTTTATATTGTATGATCAAACCTCACAAATGACACTACAAAGTGTTAACATATTGAGTAGTACTTGATAAGTTTTCTATTTATATGACGATAAGTTGATGTTTTCTATTTGGTTTGTTGTATTTAGCTAGTTGTGTACTTAAGTATAAAATTGAGTAATGACAAAGAGGAAATGTGTGGGCATTTTCAAGCTGAGTAAACTACAGTTGAACAAATTGTGATATTTGACGAAACTATACCGACCAAATTATTAAAACGCATTTAAAATTATATGAGCCAAATTAAAATTAAACCCTAACTATAAGTATAAATTGCAAATTTTAATATAGTAGGGGCAAGTGAGAGGKAATATATACGAGTTCAAACCACGTGATGACCATCTACTTTAAGAATTAATTTTCATGTATTTTCCAGTACCAAATGTTGTAAGGTTAGATGGCTATTGTGTGAGATTAGTCGAGGTGCGCACAAATTGGGCAGACACTTACCAATATTAATTTATTTTTGGGCAGGCACTTACCAATATTAAAAAAAAAAATAAATAGGGGCAAATTAAAACTAAACCTAAATCATAGAGACCAAATAGACATTGTCATATTAATGCACAGATATAGTGAAATTGGTTATCTTTAACACCTAAATAGAAGGTATCATTATGACATCAGGTACGTAATGTAGCTCGAACTCGTACTAAAGTTCGAACTTCAACTGACTTGAGTGTCAGAGTGTTTACTCCTCGATCTTCCTCACTAAGTGACACTCAACCTCGGCCCAGTAACGCAATCTCAACTAGTTACAACCTAAATTGAAAATCACCCTAAACAGTCTACTTAACATTTTGTTCATCTTTTTTCTTCCAACTTTCCAAGTGAGACCAAGGCCAAGAGCCACCCTCAAGGGCCAAGTGCAATGAGACACAGCTAGCTTCTAAAAGTAATGTATATAACACACAGTAATGACTAATTTTTTCAGAACTTACTTCTTTTCCCCATTGGATTGATTTACATTGAGAGGACAACATGGTAAAAGGGCATAGGAGAGAGGGAATATGAAAGTTCTATATGATCTCTTCTAAATGGATGAAATATATGATAGCAAAGCAGCCCAAAATGGSAATTTTTCTAACAACACATATAGTTTCAATAATTGGTGTCTTGGGAAAGGGAAGCTGGCCTTCATATRTTTCATCTCTGTTGGTTTGGTTTTGATCAAAAGTTTGGGAAATGGGTGTGGGAATTCTGAATCATCTGCAGCTCTGTTGTTGTTTGGCATGAATTTTCATCATTCAGGCAGTTCCTGTTCAACATTTTATAGATAGAAAAATAAAAAGTATCAATAATGGTAACAAGRTGAAYTTCACATGACTTTTGGAGGACTGAAAAAAACACTTTATAAAGTGATTTTTAAAATTTTAAATAACACGATTACATCGGGAAGCTGATTAATATTTTTCTAAGAGTATTGGTATAAGAAATAATTCACCTTTTTCTACCTAAGAATTAATTTCCTATACGTTTCTTTTGACAATCAAATGAAGTAAGGTCAAGCAATTGTCGGATGAGATTAGTCAAGGTACGTACAAACTAACTCGGACACTCATAGATATATATATAAAAACAAAAAATAGAACAATTCACTTTTTTTTTGTTGGSCAAAGATGATCCTAAACTTGCTATAAATCTACCATCTTAGATACAAAATTTTGTTTTAACAAATTTTTTTAGGCAAAAATTGAAAGCAAGATGTAGTAAAATTCATATGGACCAAAAGTTAAAAGGTAAAAATTTAGAGACTATATCCCATAGTAAATTAAGCAACTATAACTKTTTTTTGTAATAAATGTTAAATTGTTTATATAAGAATCTTACTCTCTTGGTCGGGAGATCCACAAGGAACTAAGAGCTCGTAACCTTCCATAGTACTCTCCAATCACCACGAAACATCGTGCTGCCTGTCGAACTGTCAATATTCGACGYAATTGGTGAAGTGTTTGTTGTCTCAACATATCAGCCTGTAACAATAGGATCACAAATTAAAATTATTATATGTACAACCTCTCATTATTTTATAATTTGCCAACAACAAGATTTTATATAATAAAATTACTCTTATGTTTTGTTTTTTTTAGTTTTTAGTTGATGGGTCACCCCAAACATCCTTTTCTAACCAACCTTTTGATTGAGACTTTTAAATTCTAAATTCCCAATGTTTATTATAATTTATAACCTGCCTTTAAAAGAAAGCTACAATTTTTTTACTCAGTACTGCATTATTGGACATCAAAAACAAATTGGATTTTGTCAGAAATTTGGTTTTATTTATTTATTATTGAAAAATCATATTAAATTTCTGTTCACATTTCCGTAAATTCATGGGTTAGACATTAACATCGACATTTCTACCGTATCACGATAAAAAGAACATATATATATAAAAAAAAATATCTAGATCATGAAAATATTTATTTATTAATTTAAATATTTTGGTTCAAAAACACATTTAGTATCCATACTTTCACAAAAACAACAATTTAGTTTTTTAAATTTATTTCGTAATGATTTAATCTCTATACTTTTGAATYRGTAATAATTTAGCCACTGGACTGTAGTATATGACAACTTAGTTCCTATAATTTAAAACTTGAAACAATTTAGTTCTTACTATGAAAAATCTTATCAAAATTAAGTGTCAATTTTTATTATATAATAATTTAGTCTTTGTAATTAATAAACATATTTGGTTACTCGTAGATTTAAGAAACTTAACAAAAAAATTTTGCAATATCGATTAAATCGTTACAAAAATTTAAACTATCACAGAAATTATTACTAATTTGAAACCATGCGAAATAAATCGTGRTAAACTAAAATTCAATTACACCAACTGCACTAAAAAAGAAAATTTATGTTTTTTTTTTATATTTTATGATTTTTGTTCATGTTTGGGTACGAAGATTTATGAGAGAGAGAAGGAGAATGACCTGGCGGATGAAACCTTCAAGATTGGCGAGCTTCCCGGCGGCGGCGGCCATTTGGTTGATGCCGTCGAGGACGGCGCCGCCGGCGATGGTGATTATCAGAGAATGCTGCAGCTGCTCCAGCCCCTGATACAGAGCATCCTCTGTTTCGTGAGAAGATCGTTGCAAACTACAGATTCCCATCGCCTGTTGATCCGTCAATGTATCTAATTGTGGAATTAACATCTGTTTTTCGGTTTTTCCCCCATCAAAATCAGAAGTTTCATCAGAAATTTCTAGAGAGAAGAAACAGAGGAATTCACATTTTGATCAGAGACGGACCTCTATGAGCTTTGATGGCCGGAAACCGCCGATCCAGAGGAAGCAACGCTCCGCCGGCGTCATCCACATTCCGGTGATGAGATGAAAGACGTCAGATTTTGCGGCCACTCCTTTCAGCTGGAAAATTTCGTCGTAGTGAGAGATATAACTGTCTACTATTGCCCGCATATCGCCGTCCGGCAACTGCCCCTGCAGCGCCGCTCTCAGCTCCGCCATCAGACGGTGGTCGTCGTCTAGCCACCGCGCATATTCCATATCAAATATTGCCGCTCCTACCCAACAAATTAAATCAAAATAATAAATAAAATGATTTTTAATTTTTTAACCAATTAAATTAAGATTTTTTTTATTATTGGGATGGAAAGATTTACACCCGCGACCTTGTAGTGGGAGATAGATGTCAATACAATTGAACTAGTGTCGGTAATTAAATTATAGATTTTAATATTACTTTTAATTTTTGTTCATTTTGATCCTCTGCTTCCAAAACGTCCATAAGTGACCATTTTACTTGTTTCATTTTTACYTCAGTTTCTTTTTATCATAATGTTAGCATAAAACTTCACTCACTAAATTTTTGGAAATATATCCATAAACTTTTGTTAAATTGTTCTAATAAAATCTTTGTTATGTTAAAATTTTATAAATATTGACTAAATTGATCACTTCTCAAAATTAAAATTAGAAAGACTGAAATAGACATTTTGAAAGTACAAATAAAATGGAAAAAAAAGTAATAAATACACCGAYTGTAATAATATTTAAACTTAAAATATATTCCAATGGGTAACCATTGATTTTCTATAATTTTTAGGGAAAAAAATATTGTTTTTTTTAATTCTTCAAATTAATAAAGATTTTAAAGGAACCAATTTGGCACATTGTCTTCTTGGATAATCAAATCAATGGGTGCCAATTTGTCTTGTTATAAATATAAAAATCACATCCCCATAAGAAAATGGCTTCCACCATATTGTCYCATTTTGTAATTTTAGCCATTACTTTTTTCTCAATAAAGGAAAAAAATAAATAAATAAAAATTGTATTCCCAAAAAGGAAAGAAAGAAAAAAAAACTCACCGGAGCTGATATTGCCACCCATAACACCACCACAAGCACCCAAAAACAACCCCTGTTCAACACAAATCATTAACAAAAATCACTAATATTATGCTCAAATTTAACCTTACRAACATATTATTTAACACTCCCTTTCAAACTCGATATTAATTTGATCACAAAATTCAATACGTAACCTATTAATCATCGAAAAGGAGAAAATGACATTAGAGATTCGAAAAATTTATCGAAAATGCAGCAATTTGTTTACTATTTTGAACTTCAAACCTGAGAACGTGCTCTATGGAGGTCTTGTTCAAGCTGAGAGAGCTTGATTCTACTGGATTCTAGCTGCTGAATATAAGCCTAACACAAAAAAAAATAAAAAAAGATTAGAAATTTCCAAGTGGGTTCCTCCAATTCTGTAATGGGATCATTTTTTTTTCCATAAAATAAGAGAAAAACTTCTGGGTATGAAAAAAATTAGCTCAAAGTTCAAACCTTCTTCCTCAGACGGCTCTTTCTTGCAGCTTCTCTGTTTTGAGCCAAACGTCTAAGTGTCTGAAAAAGTTTCAAGTTTGTTTTTTGTCACTCAAATTTTCAGAGGTTAAAGGAGAAAAAGAAGCTCAAAGAAGTTTATGAAGATGTAAAAATGGAACCTTGGCATCGAGCTGCCTCTCTGAACTTGAACCAGCACCTTTTCTCTGCTAAAACAACAAAMAAAAAGTTGAAGAACAAGCAAAAAATCAAGCAATATTCTGAATTGAGTAAGAAAGAAAAAAGAACAGAAATTGAAAAAAATAGATTGCTGACAGAGGAAATGGAACTGTGATTCTGATATTGTTCTTGAGTTTGGTTGTAGTTATCTTCCATAGTTTATGGTTTTTCAAATGAGAAGAGAGCTTGCTGATCATTTTATCAATGGTAATGAATATTCTCTCTCTCTCTCCCCTTCTCTTTCTCTCTCTAGTTTCATATCAAATAATCGTCAGAAAATCTGCCAGAGGTCAGGAAACTCTGCCCATCATTTGAAAATTTGGGTACTTTTTGGGATCAGTGAGAGAGAGAGGGAAAAAAAGTGGTAGTTTTAGTGAGAGAGAGAGAGAAGATGAACCTTCTCTTTGGCAGGGGATTGAGATGATGGCTCTGTTCTCAAGGCATCATCATCTTCCATCTCTGTTTGAAGATTTTGAAGTTGAAGATGATGTTGATGAATTTGGTCAAATCCCTGAGTTGAAGAAGAACATGCCCTTCTGCTAACTGGAGATTCAGCCTCCATTTCCATTTCTAATTTGTTCATATTTCCTGATCCTGAATCTGTGCTCTCTCCCCCTGACTTTGAACCTCCCTAGTTCATGATCATCATCAAGAACAACGAAAATGAACCACTTTTCTCTAATGGGTGTTGAAGAAGAGTTCAAAAAGTTTTCAGTTCTTGAGAGGAAATTACCAATCTTGGGGTCTGTTGGAACCTTATTGGCCAAGAAGGGAACATTTCAAGAGTTGCAGCAGGCCTCCCTGTGAGAAAATCTGCAATGGAAATCACAATAATCAGAGCACACACACAGAGAATCAATAGGAAAATATAACCAAAATTTTTGTTTGCAAATTGAAAACTTTCTCTCTCCTCTCTCTGAAAGGAACCTAATCCAACTTTTGAGCAGTTATGGAGTTAGTACAGAGAAGAAACTGAATAGGGTCAGAATTTTTACTCTGTTTGTACCCTCATGCCAATTCAACACTATTGCTCTTTGAAATCATTTTGCCTTTAAAAATGGCAACTTTAAATCCCCTTCTCTCTCTCCTCAGAAAAGTTGCAGAGAACCAAAAAATGGGGAAAAAAACTACTTACGTGGCGATTTGGGTTCTTCATTATTTCCGAGCTTCACCCCCTGCAGAACTATGGCTTCTTCTAGCTCCCCAAMATCAAAAGCTGGGCCTTCTTGATTTCTGCCAAAAACAGAGCACAGGAGAAACACAAATCAAAACATATAAACACATGTTCTTCTTGTTGTTCTTTGAAAACTTACATGAAACTGGGAGATGGGTTATGGGGGATTCCATGGAAGGCCGCAAAGGGAGCAGAGTTTGATAAACCCGAGTCCCCCAATCGGTGGTTCGCCATCTGGGTTACGCCATTTTCGACCAGAAAACAAGAAAAAACAGAGGGATTTGGAAAAACAGAGGATTTGAGTAAACTGAGGAGAGCTTGGAAATGGGGTTTTGGAGGGGGGAAACTGAAGAATCAGAATTTAAATATGAAGGAAAGAGAGCAAAAGTTTAGAGAGAGAGAGAAAGAATTGAGAATTTAGAAGGCTTTGGGTCTCTTTCTTGAGATATATATGATATCTTCTGATCTCTCTCTCTCTTGAAAGTTTGAAACTTTTTGTTTTTGTTTTGTTGGGTRTTGGGATTAATGGTGGAATTGGGAGGTTTCTATTTCTCTGCTTCTCCATGAAGAAACCTCGTTTTATCATCATTCACCACGTCTCTTTCTCTTGCTCTGTTTTTCTCCTTTGAAACTCATTCCAAGGCGCAGAATTTTTTGTCCAAGCCGACCTGTTTCAGGCCATCGTCTGGGTTTGCTCTCCCCCTCTTTGACAAAAACAACAAAACTATGCTAATAAAAAAATAATACTTCATGYCGAATTACCATTTTAGTCTCTTTAACCCGTGTTTTGTTTCAGTTTGGTCTCTATAATATGATTGAATCTCTCTAAAATGTGTTTTTTGAAGTACGGTAAATAYGTTCGGRGGAGAATTGGACCTCTGGTCCCAAATAAAGAAATGGATATCGAACTATGYTTATTTTAGTCTAAATATTTTTCTTATAGTATTAAGATGACATGGACAATTCTATTGTAAATCATATTAACAACATTTAAGAATGATATGGATGTATGAAAAAATTTAAGAATTATTTATCAAGGAAAATTTCTAGTGTRAATTAAGAGAGTATACATTTCAGAGCAGATAATAAAATTTTCGTTGAAGAGCRTAGATAAAGCCATGAGCAAGTTGGTTTCTAGCATGTTTAGGTATTTGGTAATGYAAATTTAAATAATAGTACAACAAATGTGGTAGATGATTCGAACTCATGATAATTGCTAATTACGGTTAAAGCTAAGTTCATGTAGACAATAAATGAAGTCATTATATACTTTAAAGTATACCGATCAAAAATAAATGCAACTTTTAACATGAGTTCAATGACCTATTAGAGATTTGAACGTTTGAGGTCTAAACTTGTAATTTAAGAAATTGTCCGGTGCAATTAGAGGAAGCCACTAGAATATCACTGACTCCAACTCCACTTCYCTCTCTCCTATAACCGCCTGAGGTGTTCTATTGGATGGATTTGTGGGGGAGAAAAAGGGAAAACAAAAGATAAATACAAATAATAAATTATGTTTCAACAAAATTGGTAAAAGGGATGTGAAATAAATAAAGAAAATGGGATAAGGGTAATTGAATGTGGAACAAAAAAGCAAAAACCCCCAATCATGGGGTTTTCCCTATGATCTTTTTACCTCAATTTGTAGATCCTTTCCCCCTTGGAAACATAGGCTTCTGTCTTCCATAAAAGTTTCCCTAAATGCCACCTCATTTCTCTCGGCTCGTTACAATAACGATTTAGTCCATGTATTTTTAAATTTATAATAATTTAGTTCGTGAACTTTAGTATGTAACCGTGTAGTTCCCTGTAGTTTAAAATTTGTTACGATTTAGGTTGTATCATGAAAAAGTCTTGTTGAAATTTAATGGGGTTTTTTATATATCGATAAAATATTGAGAGACAAAATGTGTTCATAAACTACAAAATTTAAACTACGAGCAATAAATTGTTACGGAATAAAATTTATGGATTAAATTGTTACTAGTTTAATGTTACAAACTAAAGTTTATGGAATGAATTGTTACTTCAATAAAACTATAGGGATCAAAAATGTTTTTAACCAAATAATGATAACATAAAGAAAGTTTTGATGGTGCCCTTCTATCTCTGTCGTTAACGATACTAAATTAACGAAACTTGGATGTGGGATTTTTTTTTTTCTTTGAAGTTTAGAAGGTCACATGAATATTTTATTGATCCAATTTGCTGAATTATAAATGAATAGGTATAAAGTAAGGGTTGAAATATCATTTGATTACGAAGAAGACTGACTTTTGCCCCAACTTTAAGTGTTACGTCTATGTATTTCATATAATTAGTATTTACAAACTTCAGTGAAGAAAGCATCTATTGCTATTATAAAGATTGATGGCTGAATCTCTCACCTTTCTCGAAGGAAAAAAAAAGACCAAATTGATACAGGCATGATTTGAAGTTTAGAAATGTAATTCATTTTTTTAAAGTTTAATAAAACATATCATTTAACATAACATTATAAATTATCTTTTTTTTTTTAATTTGGATATCAAATGAAACCTTCTAAATTACTTGTTTTCTATTTTCTATTTTCTATTTTTAGTTTTTAAAAAATGTATGTATTTCATTACACTTTTTTTCTTCTTCTGGTTCACTTTTAAGAAATATTACCGAAATCAAAGAAAATTTTGGTTTCTAGTTTCATATTTCCTATTTTCCCTTCTTGAAACAAAACATCGTTCTATTATTTTTAACATATAAAATGCATAAGCATATTTAAAATATATATATTACAAGTTGTAATATTTTTTTAAAACAAATTTCCTATAAAACTTTAATGGTTTTAATTTAAAATTGTGAGAATAATGGGTTACTACAGATTATTTTTAATAAGAATCAAAAATTAAAGAAATAATAATTACCAAATATTTTTGTGTCATTTTCACGAAAAAAATATATATAAAACAATAGAAACAATAACAAAAATACTACGAAACTAGCTCGAACTTCTCTCATCTTTATCTTCCTCTGCTCTACCTAAGAAAACGTACAAATTTTGTTGTGGTGTCCGAGGACAGAGGTCTTGAGAGATATGCATAGAAAAAGAAAGAGAAAAAGAAAGGAAAAAAAAAAGATGATGTTGGTCTTTAGGGCAAAGGTAGGGCTTTTTTTTAATTTATTTTTTAAATAACAGATAAAAGAAAGGCAAGGCTTCCATTGACAGCCTTTTGCTTGGTCTATTGTGGGTGGAAAGGGATAGGCAAAAGAAGAAGATAGTGAGAAGGCCTAAAAAATAATAATAATAAAGCAAAAAGTCATGTCTTAAAAAAAATACAAATTTAACCCTTCAACTTTTTAAGTTGTTTCGATCATGAATTCTAAAAAATCTTAAATTGAAAATTTAGAGCATATCTTGTTTCTTCAAAGTTCATAAATCTGTTAGGGCTACAATCTTGAAAATTCAGAGGCTAAATTGTTAATTTATTTTTTTATTAATTCAATTTAAATAATTAGCTACTTAATAATATCAAGTTAATTTGTAAAAAAAATGAAGATTTAGGGTGAGAAAAGTAGTGGCTAAAAATAAACCTCATTAGCATGTGTGGGGAAAAGTGGGAGTGAGAGAGAGACGTTAAAAAAAAATTAGTGGTTGTTTAGAAAAATCTACCTTTTTCAATATTTAAAAAAAATATAGGTTTAAAACATAATAAACATAATTCAATTTGTCTTGGTAATACTTTTTTAGGTCATAACTTTGAATATCCACCTCTTATTTGAATTTTATACTTTTTTTTTATAAAATTATTGATATTTTATAATTCTAAGTGTTAATAAATAAATTATTATTTCAAAGTCAACATTGAAGTAAATTTCAAATTGTTGGTGGCATAGAATAATCAAAGATAATACAACAATTATTGAGAATAATTTGATGATAATAGAAAAAAAATAGTTGATTAATTATTTATACTTGATCAATCAAGATTTAGCATAAGTAATAACTAATAATTTACTATTGATGATTGAATTGTATTATATATATCTAGATTCTAGATAAACCATTAACTATTTTGGCAATTTTTGCCTTTTTGTTTAAGAAAATATTTATTGTATTGTCAAAATCTAGAAATCCTCCTAATAATAGCTCATGAAGAGAAGAAAAGCACATGTTTTTCATTCTTAAAAATGTTTTCAAAATGATACGTAATATTCAAAATTAAATAGTTTTTTAATAAATTCCATGTTTTATTTTAGGTTTAAATTTTATATTTTTTCCATGAATKTTTGTATCTATCTCATTTTCATCCATAAATTTTTAAATATTTCATTTTAGTTCTTAACCTTTACATAAAAAAGAAAAAAAAAACTTTTTTTAGTCTTATTTATTAATTTTTCATTGATCATTTAACAAAAATTTAAACATCAATATACTTAATCAGGTAAATATCTACTCATCAATTAAATAAAAAAAATATGCAKCAATATGTGTARGTACTTATTAAACAATTTTTTTAAACGCAATATTAACATTTAACACTATAAAATATTTGATGTTTTTGTTTTCCAACATCGCCAATAAGAAAAAGTCGTAYACATATATACTATCAGGCACAAAATTTATTCGTGACATTCTTCGTCATAGCCATGTTAGGAGATATCTATCGATAAAATATTTGAGAGTTGTGTTGAGTTGAAATTCTATCCGTAACAAAAATCCTTTAATATAAAATAATGATTACATTTTAGTATAGAGTTGAAATTGTAATTGAAAAAATTTGAGATTAAAAATAAAACTAAAGTAAAAAATAGTAATTTTTTAAAAGTATAAACATTAAAATGAACTAAATTTAAATTTACTATTTTAAAAAAAAAGAAAAGAAATAAAAGTCATAGACTCATAGCATAACTACCAAACACATTATCTATTATTTCTTAATAAAGGAAAAAAACTATTTTATTTTGAAAAGAGAGATTTATACAAATTTTTATGCATACCAATTCAACTAATAATTAGTTATAATAATAACCCATAAGCAAGCCAAAGAAGAAAATGAGAACCCACTTGTATAATTAAAAATAANTTATTTGCATTAATTCTTCAATTTTCATTTAATTTTTTTAGGCACCAAATTTCCCCACTATAAGACCAACCCTTTGATTTGTTCCTTTATAACATTACAATTTTTGCTTCCTCTTAATCATTAGTGTGAGGAATTAGAGCAAAGTTCTTTGATTTCTCATTAAAAAAATGTTTAATTTTGATTTTGGCATTAATCTTTTTGTTTGTTGACGAATTTACCCTTGTTTTTTTTTTTATAATGTTTTAAAATCTTAACCAGATGTAAAAGACTCTTGATGAAAAATCATACTTATTTACTAATATTTTCTTTATTTTTATTATATTTTCAATTTTCGACCTTACTGATAAAAAAACATGTTTTGATAAATTTTTAATATGGTTTTGAGTTTTAGAAATTTTTGCTAATTTTTCTTTGTATTCTAGACTACTTTTGAAATTATAGCCAAATTTAGAAAAGCAAAAATTAAATTATTTAAACTAAGATTTTTAAATTGCTTTTAAACAATGAAAAATTAAATAAATAAAATGTAACTATAAGTAGTACTTTAATTCATCAACTTATTTTTTAAAACAAAAATTCGTTATCAAATAAATT